GGACGGCGCTCCGCATCGCGCAGTGGACCCCTGGTTCGAGTCCGGAAGGTGTTACAAGCTCTGGCTTTCCGGCGGGAGTGCCATCGTTCCCCTGTCTCCGGTAGAATGCCGGGGTAGATTATCGAGGCCACGGCCGGCTACATACCGGTTCCCCAAACCCGCGTAAGGCCTGAGGGAGAACACAGAAAACTTCCTGAGATGTCACCACTTTCTAAGAGATACTTCCCCCTCCGAAAAAGGTTAGAACTTTTGGCCGAATTTCTCGATTGCGATGTGAAACTGCTCCGGATAGGCGCTCCCCTGGTGCAGCATCAGCCGTGACGCACAAATCCCTGAATCCGGGTGCACGCGCTCTCTTCCGTTCTCAAGGTCTTCCCATGCCGAATTTTCGTGTGAGGTCCCCTCTAGGCGGGGCTTCAGTCCGTGTTCTTGACACAGAGAGCTCTGATATAGGCTCTTTTGCCGGAACCATGGCACGCTCTCCGTAGATTCGGCTTTCATGTCATTCCCATCTCCAATGGAAGCCCCTCTCCGAAGGGGCTCAAAGTAATAAAAGCCCGTGCTTGTATTGGAATATTTACGGCAAGTCATTCATGATCCCGATCATCGGCATCGGGCTTACCGGGCAGGATTCAAAGCGTTGCAATTTCGCAAGTATGACTGATTGAGCTTTTGCATTACCAGTCGGACCTTTGCCGAATCGTCCAATTTGGCTCTCTCGACTCTCACCATATCCCGGTGTCAGTTGGACCCCAGTTCGAAAGCGAGACAGTGGTCCGCTGGATGTGTATATCGTCAAACCCGATGTGAGATGTACAGGGTGCGGCAGCATAGACTCCAATGTTCCTATCGCATATTACTCCGTGGCCAGGTGAGAAATAGCAGTCGTTCTTGCGGCGGAAGTTGCGTCTGATGCTGCATTTTTTTCCGATCATCATTGCCCCAGGCCCTGGGGTATAGGAGTAATCCTGAAGCACTGAGTGAGATATGCTTGGAGGCGAAGGTGGGAGGCGCGGCGTACTTGAGTCTCAGGGCGGACGGCTCGATGTCAAACACTCCTTGATCTTCGCTGTGAGGGAGAATCGCGACTGTTTGAGAACGGGAGATCCCGAAAATTCCGAAAACTCTCTTTTCCATCTCGGCCCGACAAGGTAGAGGAAGCGACTGACTGGAGAGCGGGGCCTCGGTTGGCAGTTCTCTCCCTCCGGGGCCCAAGAGGATGCGAAGACGCCGAGGCGCGTCGCGGATCAATATAGGCTCTAGCATCCGTGTGGCCAACCCGCTGCACCGAATCCGGAGGGAATTTCCGGGAAGATGAGACCAAATATTCGCTGACAACGTTCGTCGCCGCATCGATCCTCGCGAGCTGAGGATTCTTCCCAATTCCGATGATCGGAACTCTATTGAGCTCGCAGATCCATACGGTCCGTGGAGAGGACAGTCTGGAGTTGAAGAGAACTCACCGTCTTGCAAGTCAGTCAAGGAATCATTTGCGCTCACTCTGGCCAGCATGATGGCGGCGGCTACGGCTTTTTCGCATTTTTCTTCGTCGTAGCAGATCCTGAGGACGAAAATTTTGCACCGCGCAAGTCATGACGAACGTCAAGACGTGAGGGGAGCAAACGGTGTTCCACGTTCCGACAATGAAGACCCGAATCCGGTCCGGAAAGCGGTCTCGTGAATATCACAAGCACGCTCTACTCTTGGTGAAATTCCTAACGATCCTAAGTGCTATCGTTTTCTTCCCAGTGTATCTGAGACAACGGAGGAAGCGATCTCTGCTGCAGGACAGGATTCTGTCGCGGAAGCCGCTTCAGTTGTGGTTGCCACGGAGCCCGCCGAAGCGAGCCCCAATCCGATTGGAGAACTACAGGTGAGTACTGGGACAGGGAGTCGCCGACTGATATAGAATCTGACATCCGCATATCATGAGGGCTCCTACAGCGACCGTCGTGATGAGCGGAACCGCACTACTTGGCCTTGATTTATTCTCCAGGAGCTCTGCCTTCCGCGTCATTGGGCGCTGTCGGGATATAAGGAGGAGTTCAGAACCGCCCCCCTCACGTCTTGACGTTCGTCGTGACTTGTGCGGTGCAAAATTTGTAGTCCTCAGGATCTGCCACGACGAAGAAAAATGCGAAAAAAGCCGCAGCCGCCGCCATGCTGGCCAAAGTGAGCGCGAATGACTCCTTGACTGACCTGCAAGACGGTGAGTTCTCTTCAACTCCAGACTCCTCTCTCCACCGAGTCGGCAGCATACGGAGCTGTGTTCTCTCAGATCAATTGAAGAATTATTTCGTTCTGTATGTGACGTCTGTCACCGCCCTCCACTCAAGAAAACGTCGACCACTCAAGAATTCCGGATCCGAAAATCGAAGATCTGGGAAATTCACTGAATCATCTGAAACTCATGGCTGGCGGTCCTGAATCGGAATCACCGACAGCGCATGAAATTGAGGCTCACTTGAATGTTCTGGCGCAGAAGTTCAATGTCAATCTCAATCCACGCGCCGGGAGCGATATCGACGGACGGTCCGTACGGATCTGCGAGCTCAATAGAGTTCGGATCATCGGAATTGGGAAGAATCCTTAACTCGCGAGGATCGATGCGGCGACGAACGTTGCTAGGGTAGGTAGGGTTGGGGCTCGCTGCTGCGCGGCGGGCTCCGTGGCACCCACAACTGAAGCGGCTTCCGCGGCAGAATCCTGTCCTGCAGCAGAGATCGCTTCCTGCGTTGTCTCAGATACACCGGGAAAGGAAACGATAAGATTTAGGATTGTTAGGGATTTCTCCAAGAGTAGACCGTGCCCGTGATATTTTCGAGACCGCTTTCCGGAACGGGTTCGCCTATGCTTTTTCGGAGAGAGGGAAGCAGAGACCGAGGGCAGGAATGATTCATTCGATCGAGCGGGACCACGAACGACAAATGACCTACTTTCTTTCTTTTCCTGGTCGGCTCTTCAAGGATCTCCCGGCTCCTTATGGATCGAAGGCCGAAAAACGCTCGAGAGCAGATTGCACTAGCTGCTCCCGAATCGACTTGATCTACGGTGGAACTACGAACAGATCATCTCTCGCACTTCCTCCACTTGGGTACGAATCCTGAACGTTAAGAGCTCGACGCATTTCAATCAATTCCACAGCTTAAGCTCCTCCCACTTAGAAATCTCCAAACTTGATCTACCTATATTTTCGATCCCTCGCTTCCATTCAGAGGCTCAGGGGGAACGAGAATTTCTTCTTGGAGTCTCGATAAAGGGTCAACAGGTAAATTCTCGGTCGAAAATCATGTCGGTGCCGAGCGTTTTTCCGTACTTTCGGAGGACGACTCCAGTGCAACCCCAACGCATCTGGGTATATTATACGTATGTCTTTGTCTTAAGACGTTCCAAGCTCAAGCGGGCATGTACATATAAGGGATAGGTTGATAAAAAAATCTGTGGAAATATTATTCTGAGTTCTTCCCAGCCCTCGCCATCTTCACGGGACGAGGTCGGATGCCCGTGAGCGTCCCAATATTCTCATACGAAAATTGGAAGCCTCCGCATGATATCATGTCGTAGGAAATGTGACATCTTCATCCGGGTTCCAGGGGTTGATGCCCAGCCGATGCATCATTCCCGGGGGATTAGAAACCGAGATACCCGATGCTATAGAACTCATCGATTTAGTTTTCACAAAGGTGACATCGCACGGAGTCTTGACGCGATCATGTCAATTGAGACTCATCCCGTATTGTATAGTCATGTGCGCGAACCTGTCCCGACTTGCCCGGTACAAAAGATGACTCATCACATCACTCGAAGCGAGGGAGCGATAAGCGCTGGAGAAGAAAACCGCGCAGGTAGTGTCGACGCCACCTCCGTAACATTGAGTTAAAACGTCCATTCCCCATCAAACCTCGAAATCTTACGATTGCTTCTTCCTACAGCTGCAGTGAAATGACATCGAGTACATTGATGAAATTTCCCAGACAAACTTGGACAGAGCGGTCATAGCTGTCCCGCGACGCATCCGGAGATCGAGAGAGCGCTCGTCTAAACGCCGCCTTCCACCCAAGCAGTGGCAAATGGCTTTTCGCCATCCCTTCCCCGCCCAACGGCACGATGCTGGACAATAACACACTTCGCATCGCTGCTGGTCTGCGACTCGGTGTTCCGATCTGCGCGCCTCTGCGCTGGATGCAACTCCTCAGTTCCCATCTTGGGCGAACATGGACTAAGCTGCGCTTGAAGCAGCGGCCGCCATTCCCGACACAGGGCGCTCAACACCGTCATATCCCGCGCTCTCCGCTCTGCCGCGATCGCCAACGAGCTCGAGCCGTCGGGCCTGTCAAGAAACTCTGCCCTCCGTCCGGGTGGACTGACGCTATCGCTGTGGAGCTCCGGGAAGGCGCTCGTTTGGGACTCTACCGTATGGGATACCTTGTCCTCATCGCATCGACCCAGGGCTGCTCGTTCGGCAGGGGCGATTGCGAGCCTTGCGGACAGGAGCAAGCTGTTGAAGTACCGCGAATTGAAAGCCGCTTCATCGTCCAACCCGTCGCCCTAGAGACCCTTGGTGTCATGGGCAAGTCTACGGAGTTCTTCCTGCGCGACTTGGGGAAACGCATCGAGGTGGCAACCGGGGATAGGCGAGCAACTGAGTTCTTGATTCAGAGGGTTTCCGTCGAGGTGCAAAGGGGAAACGGCGCAGCGGTTAGCGGATCGCTGCCGACCGGGGACAGACTGGATGGAGTCGGCTGGCTCCATTCAATCACTATATGTATATACTCGCTCACGTCCCTTGCATACATTTCGAATAAACCAATTTCTCAATTCCCACCATGGAAAAAAACTTCAGTAATAATTCGCTTATAGTGATTTTGTCTCTGCAAACGAATCGTCGTAGTTCTACGAGATTTCGGTTTGGCTCGTAGCCAAACCTGCTCTAATTCTTTTTACTTTTCGGCTCCTCAAGGATCTCCCGGCTCCAAATGGATCGAATGCCGAAAAATACGATGTTTTCGTTCATCTCTGAATACACAGAGGAGAAACAAAATTTATTCCGGCATTTTTCATAAGATAATTTTCGTATGCAATATATTCGCCCGAAAAATCGAAGTCCATTTGTTTTCTAGAAAAATCCGTGTGAGCTCGCATATATAATCATCAAAACCAGAAAAACATGCGAGCTTACACAAGCTTTTGCATCTAAGCAAAACAAATGCATAGAGTCGAGAATCCGAAACTGAACAGTTCACGACACTCGTTTGGCTCAAGCGTATGTCGTGAAATCTCCCGTTATCGTCCTCAAGCCACTCTGCGTTTAGCCCATCGAGGCAGTAAAGATTGTGATATAATATTCGTATCTTGAGGTGAGAAATGAAGTCATTTGGCCGGAGTGCATGTAGGAAGGATGTCGTTGTGGATAGACATCGATGCCTTCTAGCTCAACATATTCAATCGCAGTCGGTGTTCCACGTTCCTCGCCGCATCGATCCTCGCGAGTTGAGGATTCTTCCCGATTCCGATGATCGGAACGCTATTGAGCTCGCAGATCCATACGGACCGTCCGTCGATATCGCTCCCGGCGCATGAATTTAGAGTGACATTGAACTTCTGCGCTAGAACATTCAAGTGAGCCTCAATTTCATGCGCTGTCGTTGATTCCGATTCAGGACCGCCAGCCATGAGCTTCAGATGATTCAGGGAATTTTCCAGATCTCTGATTGTCGGATCCTGAATTCTTGAGAGATTGACGTCACCTACAGAATGGAACAATTCTTCAATTGACCTGAGAGAACACAGCTCCGTATGCTGCCGACTCGGTGGAGAGGAGAGTCTGGAACTGAAGGGAACTCACCGTCTTGCAAGTCAGTCAAGGAGTCATTTGCGCTCACTTTGGCCAGCATGGCGGCGGCTGCGGCTTTTTTCGCACTTTTCTTTGTCGTGGCAGATCCTGAGGACGACAAATTTTGCACCGCGCAAGTCATGACGAACGTCGAGACGTGAGGGGGGCCGGTTCTGAACTCCTCCTTATACTCCGGCAGCGCCCAATGACGCTGAACGCAGAGCTCCTGGAGAATAAATCAAGGTTAAGTACTGCGGTTGCGCTCATCACGACGGTCGCTGAAAGAGCCCTCATGATATGCAGATGTCAGATTCTATTTCAGGTGGCGACTCCCTGTCCCAGTGCTCACCTGTAGTTCTCCGATCGGGTTGGGGCTCGCTGCGGCGGGCTCCGTGGCACCCACAACTGAAGCGGCTTCCGCGACAGAATCCTGACCCGCAGCTGAAATCGCTTCCTCCGTTGTCTCAGATACACTGGGAAAGAAAAGGATAGCATTTAGGATTGTTAGGAATTTCACCAAGAGTAGAGCGTGCCCGTGATATTCTCGAGACCGCTTTCCGGAACGAATTCAATCAAATATGTTTATTCACTCAAGTCGAGTAAAAATATAATAATGGTAGTGAAGGTAAGTAATGTATCACATGTGATCAGGGTCAGCGAGTTTGTTGATAGATGTCACCATTGTGCATTCACCGACATGATATTTAGGGCAGGTTTCCGAACAAAGGGTGCACCTGCAGAGTTCCGATGGCTCGCGCTAGCTCTTCGTAGAGCAAACCCGATGATGGAAGTTTTTTTCTTCTTTTCAGGCGCAGTTATGCGGCCTGGCGAGCCATTTGTGGGGCAGTCGTTCAGCTTCCTCGATAAGGGATCGTTCCCTTTTCTCCAAGTGAAGGAGCCGTTGTCGACTGTACGTCTTTCTGCAAATGGTTTTCAGGTGGTCGGCGAGCGGTCTGAGCGTTGGGTACCTTGCGGCCTCGGGCGCCCGCATCCCTGTTTCCGCATTGCGTGCGTGTGGAACGCGTAGAAACCGGGAATGTTGAAATCGTCATAGGCCCAGGTTTCAACAAGAATCAAGCAATCAATATCGTGGAGAGCGGCTGGGGCGAGTAGCTTTATCGCTTTGTGGCCACTCGTGTTCCATTGAACGATAATTACTTCCGAGGACGTGACCGGGTACTGTTTTGCGTTTTGCGTGAGCTTTGTTTTCGTCGGGGTTCGCTCAGAGCCAGAACGCCTCGTTTTCGGGGTGAGTTCGCTGGGATCTGATCCTTGTAGATTGCTATGAACTGCTGCACGAGTGGAGTCCACCACTCCGAACTCCATCGCTCGAGCAGTCCACGGCTGTTGGACTCGCACTCGGTCTTCGCTGGTTCATGGGGTTGTGTAGAGTTTGACCAGCCGGCTTCCGCGGAGAGATTCCTCCGGTTGTGGTCGCCGATATCAATCGATGTCGTTTGGTGGTCGCGGTCAGTCTGACCTCTAAAAAAGAGGCGACTTTTCGGGCTATAGAGCTGGCGGCAGCGGCTGTCAGCTCTTCCAACCCTCTGTAGGTGTGGATACCTTTCATGACCATGTCGCGTTGTAGGTTTCGCAGGTCGATAATGTCCACGCCCAAGTCCTCCTTACGCTTCAGCAGGATTTCATTGGCGCTGAGGCACTGTGATCACGCTGAGGGAGCATTATCGAAGGGCGATCTTTCTTCAATCTGCCCGATAACTCTGCGATCGCGGCCATGAATTTATCTTTTTGGAACTCCATACACTCATCGAAACCCGAGTGGAGAATGAGGTTGACGGGCTGCGGGTTCTTTTCCAAGAACTTCTGACCCTGTTCCAGAATGGAATGTGTGTCAGTCTTGGGGAAGCAGCGTACATGGATTGAGCACTTCTTTGGGAGTAGCGTTCTAACGTGTCGCTCGAACTGCTTGATCTTGGGGTCCCCCAGGATCAGGGCTGTCTTCGGGGCGTGATCAGGGGGTCTCACTGCAACACTATAAACTGGCTGCTCCGTCAGTGATTGAGGGCACACCGGTGGAGCGAAGCAATTCGGCTGGTAAGCCTGCGTCTGGATAGCTGATGCTAACGATGACAGCTGTTCCGTCAGATGGGTCACCTGATCCTCTTGAAGTTTGATCTTCAATATCAGGAATGATAGGTAATTCATGAGTTCCGAATCGAGGGATATCTTGTCGAACATTGTCAGAAGTTCATCAGCTGAGAGCTTTGCTGCCGGAGATTCGCGTCCACATTGGCGCAGAGAGGGAAGCAGAGACCGAGGGCAGGAATGATTCATTCGATCGAGCGGGACCACGAACGACAAATGACCTACTTTTCTTTCTTTCCCTGGTCGGCTCTTCAAGGATCTCCCGGCTCCGTATGGATCGAAGGCCGAAAAACGCTCGAGAGCAGATTGCACTAGCTGCTCCCGAATCGACTTCATCTACGGTGGAACTACGAACAGATCGTCTCTCGCACTTTCTCCACTTGGATACGAATCCTGAACGTTAAGAGCTCGACGCATTTCAATCAATTCCACAACTTCAGCTCCTCCCACTTAAGACGTCTCCGAACTTGATCTACCTATATTTTCGATCCCTCGGTTCCATTCAGAGGCTCAGGGGGAACGAGAATTCCTCCTTGGAGCCTCGATAAAGGGTCAACAGGTAGATTCTCGGTCGAAAATCACGTCGGTGCCGAGCGTTTTTCCGTGCTTCCGGAGGACCACTTCAGTGCAACCCCAACGCGTCTGGGTATATTATACGTATGTCTATGTCTTAAGACGTTTTAGGTTCAAGCAAGCATGTACATATAACGGACACTTTATACATTCATCAAAAAGTCTGTGAAAATATTAACCTGAGTTCTTCCCAGGCCTCGCCATCTTCACTGAGATCGCTGATTCCGCGATCTGTTCTGGGCATCTTTCTTGCGTGTGAGCACAACTGGAACACGATGAATTCGGTTTGGCAAGCTCGGCACGGCTCTTTATACGCATCCGAGAAAGGAGAACTACAAGGTGGAAAGGTAGGGCAAAAGGGAAAGAGTGTGTCCGTCGAAGCTTCGAGAAGCGTCGCGAAAATCGCCAAGAATGTTCTTGTTCTTCGGTAGCGGCTGACCGCTTCGAAGAGTACTCATTTCTCGAACCGAATCATTGGACACTTCCCGTAGCTTCTGCGTTCACTTGGATTCCTTTCACCCCCTCAGTAGATGAATTTTTGGAAATGATGACTGAGATAGCTCTTGTGAGAGAAGAAGCGAGTCGGAATTCGCAGTGACCGATTCATACACTTTGCTAGAAGGACCCATTCCGAGAAATAAATGAAGCGAGCACATGGTAATCTTGCCCTTATTCATCCTTGCTCTTTCACAGTTCGGCTCTGCGCATGAGGAACATTCAGTTCCCCTCTTGCTCACCGATGAGATGAAAGCCCGGCCCCACAGAGTTCAATTTGGGGGCTACCCCCGAAATTGAGTATCTTGGGGTCGAGGAACGGAGCTCCTTTGATGGAGAAAGATGCTCTTGAGGCGGAATCATTTGACAGTTTTCACGTGCCCGAGCATTATTGGATGCCCCACGAGAGGGACGAGGTCAAATGCCCATGAGCGTCCCAATATTCTCATACGAATATTGGAAGCCCCCGCACGATATCATGTCGTAGGAAATGTGATATCTTCATCCGGGTTCCAGGGGTTGATGCCTAGCCGATGCATCATACCCCGGGGCTTCAAAACCGAGATATCCGATGCTATAGAACTCATCGACTGAGTTTTCAAAAAGGTGACATCGCACGAAGTCTTGACGCGATCATGTCAATTGAGGCTCATCCCGTATTCTATAGATAGTTGTGCGCGCGAACTTGTTCCGACTTGCCCGGTACGAAAGATGACTCATCACATCCCTCGAAGCGAGGAAGCGATAAGCGCTGAAGAAGGAAACCGCGCTTGTAGTGTCGACGCCACTACCGTAACATTGAGTTGAAACGTCCATTCCCCATCAAACCTCGAAATCCTACAATTACTTATTTCTACAGCTGCAGTGAAATGACATCGAGTACATTAAGCCTCCCGTTGAATTGCGTAGACCTCAATTTTATTTAAGTCATCGATATCATTCTATTGACGTCAACATGAGTATTAATTCCGCGAAAGCCTTCGGTGGCCTGAGGACTACATGTGGTTGGTATTCAATTTTTATTGAGCCTTGCTCGATCCTCCCGGTCGAGTGCCCTTCTGGCATCCGTGAGCTCACAGAGAGTGACCAGTGGATGTATATCCAAGCAGACTCTCGAGGATCGGGCCGCTTCGGGACTCCGCTGAATCGTCGGCTTGAAAAATCGAGGAAGCGATGTAGAACCGACACAAATGGCCAGAAAGCTCCTTGCCGATAGCATCGTCGTTCGCGATCGCAAGATGTTTAAGAACCGCTTTTATGCGGAGGCTGAGCTCACTTTGTTCGTACATTCGGGAGGGAGCAATTCTGATTTACTTCTTGAGAGGGTTCCTTACTCTATTGAACCGTGCGACTCGGTAGGAATTCCAGATCGAAATGATCTCAAGCACCCTGCATCGCGATCTCGACCCCCATCAATCTCAGGGAATCATATCCCTTATCGACTCCTTGATCGAGCCCGATAAGTTGTATTCGATCGGGTCGAGCTCATCTGAATCTTCACTACCCTTCTCAAATATTTCGTACAAATTCAATATTTTCAGAGGGAATCCATCATTTATACACTGTCCAGGAGTATTCCAGGTGCGACCAGTATCGCTCTCGGAAACCTTCAAAAACGCTTATTTAATTTAATTTAGGTCCCTCTCGGTGAAATGATTCGCTGCCGCAGCTGCTAGTTGGATACTCTGAAGAAAAACACAACACGGTTTCGGGAAAGGCTGTGGACGCCGACCTTGGAACGCCGCGCAGCCGTGAGTAATCTTGGTGTTGGCCGGGCGGCCGAGGGTCCCTTCGCGATTGTGTAGAATGCGGCTACAGAGAATTTTTTCTGTGCGATCCGCAAGCGGCGCTCTTCTCGATGGAAGTATATATTCGATGAATTTCAACCTCACGGAGGACAAAGATGCTAATCTCAATTTTGAGGAGCGTATCTATAGCGTAGTAGGAAGATCCCTCGGCTTTTCGCTCAAACGTGGTGAAGCATGGAGGGCTCGTGGAGTTAAGCGATGAAGCACGCACAGACACAGGCCGTTGAAGACTTTCGGGGAAGGTTAAGGAGCCGGACCCATGGGCTGGTCGGAGCGTTTTCGATCATTTACCGTTTCGAAAGACGTGGAAGTGATAGGGCTCCGTCCCGCGACAGATTGGTTTTCGAGCAACACTCCCGGAACAGCCCTCCTGAGCATTCTCGTGATAGGGATGCCATTGATGCTGCTCTTCATTCAAGCACAGGGAAGGAAGATAGAGTGTGCTATCTCAAATCAAATCAGAGTTCTCAATCGGGCAGTCTCCTGATGCAACTACCGGGAGCACTCGATTCCAAATACGCAGCTCGGACACGATCGCGGCAAGCATCGCTGTATCATATCGATGCCCTTGTTTTTCCGGTAGAGCATTACTGAAGAAATAGCCGTACATATTATACTTACACAATATCACTTTCATCTCCGTCTGGACAGAACAATCAGGAAATGGTGATAATTCTCTGATCGGATCGATAACCAGGAATAATATTATCACATGCCTCTCGAGCACAGGTTCTGCGAGCTCAGAGGAAATCGCAGCCTCGCTCTCCTAGAGAGTCATTTCTGACCGCCACGTGGCCACAGCGAGACGTGTTCGCGGGTCTCAACGGATACAGCTCAGCGTTTTCTCTTTTACGCAGAGGGCATGCCTGTAGCACGAGCGGGATGAACGAAGGAAACTGAGAGATTTCTGGAGGAATGCTGTGATCTCGGCCAATCGAGCCCGGGTATCGTGATATCGTTCCGAAAAGTCCACTGATGATCGCCGTCGATTCCGGAGCAGCAGTGGCTCCTCATCGACGGAGAAGATATCGGCTGGAACAATGCCAGACATCCGACTATTTTTGGTTTCATCAAGATCCGTTGTGCGAGGATCGAGCGAGCGATGCGATAGAGGCTCCCTCGATACTCATCGTTTCCGCAGCGTCACCGCTCTCTCGTCGCGACTAACGCTTCCGCGGTCGCCGGTTTCCTTTCGCCGTGAATGCTACTCGAGTCATCTACGTTCCATAATGATACAATGGAAGATTGGTTCGCGCTGCTCTCGAGAGTTCTGCTAACTCGTGAGCGTTAGTGCAGTCAGCCGCCGATATCACACGGATGGCACACGAACCAGCGAAACCATTCGGTACTCTCGATTGAGATTGTCTCGCAACACAGACTGTGCGCTCAACGGGGATTGCAGATTGTCAGCCGGGGTTCACTAATGATCCACATATACTGTTTTGTTTTGTAGAAGACAGCGATGCGCGCATACAGCTTTCGAAATTAACCATGGTGAGCGGCGATGAACGGGAACCGCGCTTTTCCGAAGGGGGTGGTACGATGAGGCTCGTTCCAACCAAGGGGTGAGCAAAGTCAGCGAAACTCGACAATGAGTCGGAGCGGTTGAACAGCGGCTGGGGGGATCATGTCAATGGTGAATGAAGCCAATGGGGACCCGAGTTGGCTCTCCTTAGACCCATGGAATCAAAACATAGAGTCCCGTCAAACCAGATCTGAGCTGTATGTAGTTTAGCTGTTTAAACGTGAAGCGTGAAATCAGAGAGCATCCAATGATTCCCTATCATTCTCATATTCTCTTTCAGTAACGACAGCATTCTGCCGACTCCGAGGTGCGACGAAACCAAGCTCGAGACTTGCGAGACAGATTTCCGACCCCTCGTCTAATCGAATCTATTGTCGTGCCTCCCAGCAGACGAACGTGGATGGAGCCCATCAGCGCCACGGGAATTCTCACGGACCTCGTTTGTCGGTTTCATGCGAAGAAGTCCGAACAAGTCATCACGGAAAGCTTTAGCCAGCGCATGCGATGAGGTATCAAGGTAGACTCGAGAATTCGGCTTAGCCTGGGTTTGTCGATGAGAGAATCAACCGTCAGATCTTCCGCTATGCTGTGCTCTCCTCAGACCTAGGACTTCTAATTAGTCAAGGGACTCGTGACGCGAGCTCCGCGGCAGCACTGAATTCCCTGTTCAGAAACAGAGCCCTCCCGACATGGTACCTTGCATACGAGATCTTGTTGGAACATGCAGGTCCACCTAGGGAAAACCTTCAACCTGACCCTTCGTGCTCTGGAATGAAGACCGATCCTGAAAACAAAATCGGGGGCGATGGTCGCAAGAACTTTTCATTCCGGTGAGGTCTTCTGCTGTCTTGGAGCTGGTGATACCGAGTCGCATCGATACGAGCGTGAGACCCCTGCTTGAAAGCTAGAAAGACGATGTGGAAGTGGATGGATATCTGGAAAAGTCGCAAGCGCACTGATGAGCTTCGGAGTTGGAGATCGGAGCCGATTCCGCGAGCCCAACTGCAGTCCAGAGAACATGTTCACTCCGCGAGGAACGATAACGAATTCGCCAACTGGATGTCAATCTCTCATCTCTATCGATGTGGCAGTCGCCTTATGGAATCAGCCCACCGAATCCATTGCCGTATTTGTATCAGCCTTGCTTCTATCCTGTACCGAGCTCATCGCCGTATCCCCGCGACTCATCGTCGATCCCCTACCAAGACCCCCATAACTGTGACAATGACCCGCAAGGCGGCCCGCCACCTCCCGAACCGGACGTCAAAGACGTTGACACCCCGAGGAAGGTTCTGCCTCGCGAGCGAGTGCGAGTTCTGAAAGACGACGCCGCGGACGAAGCGTCTACAGCTGGAATCAATCTGCAGAAACCCATCGCTTCGATGATCAAGGTAATGAGGAAGGCCGAGGCTTGAAGCACTGCGAGCGGGAGCGCCACCTTTCCGTATTTCAGGCCTCATATACAGATATCAGATCATACGGGGATATGTTCCGATCCCGAGCTTCCCCTTCAAGATGAGCGGCAGAATACGCCAACAACCTCGGAGACTCGACGCAACCGCTAGCGTCCCAACGATAGAAACATACGTCCACCCGGACTCAGAGGAAGATGCGCTGCCGAGCCTCATCAAGCCCATTGCATCATCACCGAAGAAGAGGCGGAGGAAACTATGCGTCGTGTCGTAGTTCACCTAATGTACCTTCTCGAATCGGCCCTAACCGAATATTTCACAGAATATACATTGAAGTTGAGATAAGATTCGACGGGAATATGAATTCCTTCAACGCATGCATGCGAGACTCATTCAGCTGTTATCAAACTTTGACGTTGGACACCGTATTTCCTCCAACAGAAGGACGTCCAAAATGTCAACTCCGGCATCCTTTTTCTCCCCCTCAAGGGCGAGCTGGAATCGATCCCGAAGCTCTCTCTCTTGCGCCTCCGGGATGGAATCGCCAGGTCATTATGCGTGCCTTCCTATCAGAGGAAACACGGTCCAAGAAAACCTGATGACGCTCCCGAGACACGGTCTCATATGAGTGTTCTAAAGCTGAGATCCGGCAAGGCGCGGATCGCAATCTGTCTCACTGATGGTCCCACGTTATCACGTAGGGAGGAGCAAATATGAGAATCGCGTGATGAGGAAAGAAACGAGCAGATTGCCCGTATCGAACTATTCAGAGAGGAACATCGCGCATCACTCTCGAGGGGAAAAAGGCTTGGCGGTGCAACAAGAAAAACGAGTTTTCTTCACGGGAAGGCTCCATGAGAGATCTGAGGGGATAATTTAAGTTCACAGTAAGCACCGCAACTCCTGCGCTGTCCCAGCGGATCGATCGATCGAGAGCACTCAGAAATCCTCGAAGATGTCCGCGGCGGCGGGACCGACTTCTCCCGCGTGGAAAAAGGTCCGATACACGATCTTCTTGATCGGGACAGTTTCAGGGTAGTCGAAGTTTGGCATCGGGATTGACTTGTGAAAAAGCTTCGGGAAGCTCAACCCTGCGAACCATGGGTGCTCCTTGACGTCTTCGGTGCCGCGCTCCAAGGTGCCGAGGCGCCTGGTGGGATCTTTCTCAAGTAGACTCAGTATGAGGTCGTGAACCTCAACGCTCACTGGGGCCTCTGGTGGGAACACTATCGGAATGACCGGGACATTTACGCCTCTATAAGCAGGATCCGTGTAAGAGTACGGTAGTTTTTGAAACAACAGCTCATAAACAGTGACGCCGAAGGCCCACCAATCCGTTCCTTCCCGATAACCCAATCTTCTGGTAACCTCGGGCGGTATGTGGGATCTGTGACCGACCACAGTGTAGGTGCAGCGTTGGATTCGCTTGGCGAGACCGAAATCGCACAGTTTGATGTAATTGTCGTCGGCGAGCAAGACATTGTCCGGCTTAAGATCTCTGTATAGAATACGACATGCGTGTAAATATTCGAGAGCCAGCACGATCTGGGCTGCGTAGAGCTTGACGGTAGCCTCCGGCTGTCTCGAATTCTCGCAGAAGCACCGCTTGAGAGTGCCCCTCGGCACGAATTCCATGAACAGGTACAGGTTGGTGCGATCATGTCCAGAGAAGAATAAAGGAACGATGAAATCGCTGTGCGTCGCGAATAGAACTCTTTTCTCGAGCAGAGCCCTCTCCGCGCCGCAGATCTCAGCCATTCTGCTGCTTAGTACTTTGACGGCGAAAAGCTTTCTCGACTGGCGATGCATCGCCAGGATTACTGTGCCGAACGATCCTTCGCCCAAGGTCCCTAGGATTTCGAAATTTCCGATGTTTTCTTTCGGCCACCGAGTCGAAGCAAGCTTCTCGTCCGCTTCCGCTCTAGCCGTCTTCAGGTGATCCTTGTATCCTCTGACCATTTGCTTCATGCTCAGTTTAACCGGTGGCGGCGGTCTCGGCATCTTCACGTCGAACGTCTTCCATAATTTTCGCAACATCTCCGATCCTTGCGGTCGAGCTCAGCGGAAGCCCAATGACTCCGAAGAAAGTACGGACAAGCCCTGGATGACCGTGCACTTTGGAGTTCCTTCCTCTCCTTGATTTCTCTGAACCTCAGTTTCCCCTCAACAGCAGGTCAGAGTCCTCTCGATTTGAATCGAGACGAAGTCAATCTGCGTTCAAGTCGGGCTTCGCAAATCGTTATCCACGTTGAGTTGTTGATGAAATCTTCGTTTCCGCCTCCATATTCAAATTATTCCCGCCTACTTCAAAATCTAGATAGGGGATAGAGTGAGAGGCATGCCAGCCACAATGAGCGGGAATATCCAGAGACCAGAGACAGAATCGGGTAGGCTTACATTCGGTTTCCCGCAAGTCTGTCCGGAAGAAGTATGCGTGCGCCGAGCTCGTCTGCTTCCTGCTCGCTGTGGTCCAGTTTCTCCCTGGGCGAGCTCGGCCTCTTCGAGACGGTAAGGCTAGAAATGAACCATTGGGCGGAGCCAAGCTGGGGACTTCGAATCGCTGGGAGGTGCGATGAGAATCGAATGTGCAGGAAAGTCAAAATGTTTTCGAGTGTGAGTTAGAAGATGATGTGAGTTATGAGTTACGCTCCAATATATGAGCAAGTATATTGGAGCATCCAGCTCCCTACTACACTGGAGGGTTCAAATGAGTTTATCCGTCAGAGTCGATGAACTTTATGTCAATTATTGTCCAGCTGGGTTGAAACTTTGAACTCGTTGTTCTCGGAATCGCCTTCCGACGAACTCGGCCTCGGCGAATTCCTGCGTATAATCTTGGCGACTGCTCGTCCGATCAGGATCAAATTTGGTGCGTGGGTTCGTAGGATACATCTGCGACCTTAGCTGTTGAAGCACCTCAGATAATCCTAGAAACAGAAAGTGAGGAAGGAAGTCTAGATATCCACGAGAAATTCAAGGTCCGCTGGACCCGGTAATCCTGGGTCCTATTGGTGTTGTGACAAGATGCCCGGGATATGCCTCTAAAGGAAAACTCTAGAAATTTTCGGCACTCGATACCCGGGAGTCCGGGAGTCGCCTTCTGTTGCTACTGGTACTCTTCGAACACCTCACCTCCGCGAGGGTCCGATAGCAAGTGATGTCCGTCTGCGTCCGCTGCCACGGACCGCCGACGTCCAAACGTGCCGGGGCACGACATTCGTACCCTAGCAAGGCGTTGCTCCATCGGGTCCTCTCTTCATTGGTGTTCTCTAGAAATTTCCTATGGCTATTCGCCACAATTGGCGAATCTGGTCCTATTCACCATCAATCGACATCTTGAATCAGGGGAGTCGGAATGTGCCACGTTTTATACGACAGGCTTCCTACCACACACCTCGATTTCGCGTTCAGACAGCCTAGCCTTCTGATCTCGCGTCTCTGACAAGTCTCGGCGGCTGCTCTCCTTCCCTAATGGTATCCAGTCGCCTATTCTGGCTGCTCCTAGTCTTCGTGGAGGCTCGAACTCAGTCGGAGCGGCACCAAGCACAACACACGTAGCAACTCCGAGCAGCTCCGTTTTTCCCTTCAGTGAGTTTCGCCTTCCCTAGCGGCATCTCACGATGCGAGAGAAACATGTCTGCCCGAGGCGAGGAGCCAGAAAGTCGCTGGCTGGCCGCCTCACCTGAAGATTGTCGACCTCGATCGCACCGAGAGCCCGCATAGGGACCCGAGACTCACGTGTGCCCTCGACTGCCGCATTCTCGAATCCCTCGCCCGCACGCTGCTGTCTACCGAGTTCGACTCTCATCGCGGATCCCCTTTTGACAGCAGAGAGAGCTCCCCGGTGGACCTACACAGAATATTAGCGCCGTAAGGCACTCAGCGCTTGATACGGCGCATCTATACTCGTTCAGAGAGGATGGGGACGATTAGCCAAATCGCGGGAAGAGCTCCGTGCGGGATTCTCTCGGGGGGAAGCATCACGCTGGCAACACCGGATGTGTTGAAGATTGATCGATCCGTGATAATTCTGTCGAATCCAGTGGGCGGTCGATCGAGAAGCCTTCCGAACCGGAGCAATTGAGAACATGACGATGAAAAACACGGCGCGTTGCTTGCCCACCGCGTCCTTCGGGAAACTCGAGTAGCTATTTGGATTCGCTGATTTCTCAAAGTTTCGAACCTATCGTAGCTCTGAAGGCTGCTCCTTGCTATCCAATCACTCGACCCAAAGATTCACAGCCAAGACCGATGGGACGCTGCAAGTGCGGTTCGGAGGGCTCTCAGATCTTATAGTTCGTGGGTTTTTGCTCTCTTGAGCGGCTGAAAAGTCGAAGCATCGCGAAGTATCGGAACATCGCGCATACTTATTCCAACTCGAGCTGTATATCTATACAGGACCAATGAAAAAAATCCCAAAGGACCCAGATATTCTGTCAGATGAGCCAGTATTTCGCCATTTCTTGAGAAACTGTCATTCTTTTAGAATATTGACGGTATCTTCTGAGTTATGGGAGAATGTTGTCTGGGTTGTGCTCGCCCTCCTCTCCCGCGCCAGGGGAAATCCTGGAACGATCAAATGTGAATCCATGAGCCCCATTGCGAGCATGCGCAGATTCCTTCGTGGAGACAGAAGAGAACGGCACGCCGTTTCCTTCTGAACTCAGCCCCCCGATATCACGGGAGGCTCGATTAAACCGAGATCTCCTGGAAATTTTCATCCACATGAGCGCCGCGCCGTTCACTCTGAGTAAACACGGCCCTCTCGGCGACTTTAATTCCACCCTCATGTGCGGCTAGAGATTTTGGAGCGGGAATATCAGGAGACAAAGTTAATGATCGGACGTGTTGTCAGATGCAAGTGCTCGTAATATCGGACCGCATGGAGCAAAGCCTGCGTGACCTTCCATCTCAAACTACAGTCAAACTTCCTCCTCCAAGGAAGACCAGGCAAATGCTCAGATGCATCTTACGTCGAATATACGTCGCTCGTAAAACAGTCCTCGGTGGCCTCGCATCCCCTGCCGCGCCGATTGTGGATGGAACGTCGAAGCTATTCGGTACAGATGTACGTCACCGAACTCGTCCGGAATGTGAACGTAGTTCTTTCACCTCGCTTGATCCTCTGGTCATTCTGGAGCGATAGTCCATGCAAAGTGCATCATGAAGGGAGTTCCGTCGCGTCTTTCTCCCGAAATCAATCGACTTTTGCTTCTATGTTAGCCTCCAAAGCAAATCGCTGTCGAATCACTGTAGAGAAAATGATGCTGGACTCGCTGCTTCTGGTCCATTCTATGCTTGAGCAGTGAATAAACGCATGTTCGTTCAGCAGAGAACTTTTTTCCGTCATCGTCCGCTTATGCTCCCTAGCGTTTCGAATCCGGGGGCGATTCGGCTCCAGGGAGCATGGAATGAGATCTGATGGGACTACCGGATCTACCGAATCCGCATTGCGACAGGTTTTCCTTCCATCATCCCTTATGCTGAATCAGGAAATGATGACTCAGTATCCGAGGGCCAATCAAATACAGTAACCGACTTTCAATCCGACCAAGGAGCGAGCGTCAAAACCCGGGGCTCGCCCGAGAGCGGATCGCGCATTTGATCGCGCGCGAAATGACCGAAGCAGGAAAAGATTCGAGCTCTTCTGGACTCCAGAAGGACTCATTAAGTTATGCGAGTCCAAGAAGCGTGCTCCAGACGTTCCAGGTCCATCATCTGAAAGGTTCTGCCCCGGGAATCCGAGCGCTCTCCATTTTTTTTCCCGGAATGGAGCTTCCCGAAGAACGATCCTCGATTGATGAATTTCCAGGAGGCTCGCACTCATTTACCATTCCCACCTACGTGGGGCTTGCGCTCACCGACTGGTCAGCGTAGAGCAGAGATAATGTCTGTGCTCTTTGGTGAAGTTTTTCTGGATGCGGCGCAGTCTCACAGTATCGATGCAACATTCCAGACATTGTTTCATCAGCCAGAGAAAAAACAGCGAAAGTAGCTGCATGGGATCGGACTTGGTCAGCGCGTCAGACGATTTCATCAGCCACTACAGAAACTGATTTGGCGCCTTATCAACAACGGTTATCCAGCGCGGAGCGTTCGCTTCGATACAAAGCGACCCACGGGCGGGACGGTTCAAACGACGAGCGATTGGGCGGGGGGAAAACCGTCTCAGCCAATCAGAATCCGATCGCGCCATTCGCGAACTCTGTCTTGCTCTCTCCTGGGTAAAACCGAAAAGTCAGAGCTCTTCTGTCTCCTCTCCTGCTCGAGATCACTGTTCGCAGAGGAAACTTCCGTATAAAATTCACCTTTCCCGAATGGACAAATCACAACTGAACCACTTCAGCATCCACTGAGCAATATGCAAGCCGTGAGTAACCGAATTCGAATACACGATAGCAGCTCCCGAGCTGAACCTCGGACAGCGTGTTGCGACCCGATTAAATCAGTTCCTCAGAGACTTATCCGCCATTTGCGATCGGAAAAGTTTCCCTGACACATTTCCACCTACAGGTCATCGTACTCGCTACCCTCGTCGCCGCAGCCTCTGCCGGCAACCTCGCCCTCGGAGGTGTAGGGCTCCTGAACTCTGGAATCCCTCTGGGCCTTCAAGCCGGACCCATAATCTCGAGATCGACGGTGCTTTCTGGATCCCTCCAAGCCGGTCCTGCCATCTCGTCGCTCTCCTACGGTGTCCCAATTGCCTCCTCGCTCGGCCTTGCCCCCGCCTTGTCCAAGGTCTCCATTGGCTCTCCTCTGGGCCTCTCCGCTCCCATCGCTTCTCCCTTGGCATGGTCCGCCCCGATCGTTTCTCCCCTCGCTCTCTCTTCTGGAATTTCGAAGCTCTCGCTCGGCGCCCCCCTCAGCCTCGGTGGTCCCGGTATCTCTAGCATCGGCCTCGCGGCTCCCGCCATTTCCGGCATTGGTCTCGCGGCCCCCGGAACCCTCGGCCTCGGTCTCGCTAAGGCCTGGTAGACCTCAGACAGAATGTTTGTTGGTTCCATTGGTCTCTGCGAAGAGCCTCGGACGACACCATGTCGTGTATGTTGAAGTTAGCATGAACGAAGAATAAAGACTTCATGTGGAGATCAAATATCGATTCTCTCTAACGGAGCTGGAGACTAGAATCTAGGCTTTCGACTGCGAATTCACTTCGATGAGAGTAGACACCTCGAGAGGGTGACGCGGTCTTTCTCAGCTCGGAAAACTTCTCGGCTGGGCCCGATTTCTTGATGACGACGTTTCGGCACTGTGTTGTATATCTTGGGGGAGTTTCTAGGATGACCCGTTTCCGCGGAACACGATAGCTCCGAAATACATGATGACCTTTCTCGGAGTCGAGCGCTCACGATTCTTGCATTGACGCTCGAAGGATCAGGTCCTCAGCTTTCTGGGATCGACTCCTTCGCATGAGGGCTGAAGCTCAACATTTCTATGAAACCTCTCTGTCGAAGGAAATTATTTTGCTGAAGCCCTACTTCTCGGACGTCAACGAAGGGCGAGGCTTCACTGAACCAATCTGCTCCTGGGGAAGAACGAGTCTACGGACGTTCCGCCGCGTTTCCGACGATCAATCTACCGTCACAACTCATCAGGAGATTACACTCTTGTCCGCAGCAGCATCCAATGTGGGATTCCGACTTATTTCGAAGTATGGTTCCGGAGCCCCGTAAGAATCAAGGAGAATCTGGTGACTCTCATCGCGGGAATATTTTTGAGTCAACACGCGGCACGGGGCATTCTCTGTGTTCCGGTGAATTCCTGTCTCACGTCCTACCTGGGCGCCAAAGATCGGGATCCGCAGATCTATGGATCTCGAGGAAAATCATGACGAATCGTTGAAGAGCCGAGTCAGCCCTGATAAGGATCTCTTTCTGCGCCCAGGTGTGTCACTTCACGATACGCCACGCCGCGCGAGATGCCATATAAGCTTTGTCGTTGGAAAGCCGAGATTGACTGAGAAGCAATCGATCTGGCCGAGCGAACCGTATCTCTTTGAGTGTGCTCCCCAGACAGAGCTCTTCGAGGTCGCAGCAGTACTCTTCTCTGGAAAGTCATGGTCATGGTCTCAAGGTCTTTTCGTATCGGTGCATGATCGGGGCGTGGCTCAATTCAGTTCTCAGCTCGCTTGCGCCGATTGCGAGAAACCCGAGAAACGAAACATGCGTGGATGTGATCAGACATGTGCGATACAGATAGGATCTGTATCCCTGGTCTAGATCGTGGATCACCCAATCATGGAAAACCCGCGACGGAGCCTCGCGATCGTATGGGAGCGACGAGCCTCATTTGGTGATGATTCGCTCGACCATTCATCTCGATTCATGAGTTCTCCAGCCTCGGTGGCGAAGCTCCTCTTGTGTCGGCGAAGCCTGACCTCCTGATTCTTCTATTGCGATAGGAAATGGAAACTTGGAAGTGCCGATGTCTGGACTCTTTTTTTTTGCTGTCAGGGGGAGGGAATACCTGTGCGGGACGGGAAATCACAAGCTGGACTCCGAGTCCTGCCACGGCCTTCGACTCACCGTCGTTGCTGACTCGCGTCCGGAAATGATAGAGTAGGCTCAATCGAGTTTACTGCTCTGCATGTGGTCGCCTTTGGCGAGCCCGATTCCCCACGCGGAACGAGTCATCCGCTACGCAGAGCGATCTGGAAGATTTGCTGGTATACAAGAAACGAAGCTCCTAATTCGAAAGTGAGACAGGACCCTGGTTGCTCGATGCTTTGGCGGGCCCACACGTATCGTTGTTCTGTCTAATCCTATCCAAGTATCGGGGAGAACTGTGCCCATAACCCAGAACGTACAAGAAGAGTGCATCGCGCATTTTGTGTTCCCGAGTAAAAACAGGTCCCATATCAACGTGGAGTTCGGATCCTGCCTTGGATTGGCTGACGACATTTAGGATTCTTCACTGCCACAGGATGGCGCAATACTTCTTTCGGCTAGATTCGGCAATGAATGGATCTCCATCGAATTGTATCGTTCTGAGTCAGCTCCGCTGCTCTTTGAGGGGGATAAGGCACAGAAAACCCTACGTCAACATAGTGCTGCTCTATCCGCTCTGGATGGAAATGACTCTGCTTTGTGAATGTAAGAGCACCTTGACTCAAGTTCCGATTCGCACAGGAACTTTGAATTCCGATGGACATCCTTACCTGAGTCTCGCTGGAGCAAATAATGTCATCTTAGCTCCAGACTTCTATAAGTGTTTTGCTCTGAAAGGAGCCAGATCGCCGCGATTATCTGATCTTCTCGAGGTCATAGCTTTGGACTCTTGGGTTATCCTGATCGCATGCGCACTCGTCCTCGGGAAAATGCTCTCTACGATGAGGAACGCCACGTTTACGACTACAGTAGGTCAGATCTTCTTCAATTCCATGTCGGCGACCGCTCTGACTTCTCGAGAGGAAAAGTATCTGTCTTCATCGCTATATCAGCGACCCCAGCAATGAATTTCTTCGTCAGAGCGCTTTACGCCACCTACATAGTGTCGAAGTTCCTGAATCCAGCGGACAGGTGGGGAGTCCGACGGTTCCTCTCATGACGTCCCAGGGGGCTATGCCCTTGGAAAGCAATACGACTCATCGAGCTCCATTCTGGGACTGCGCTCTGCGGTCAGAGTAATGGGGAGTTGGCCGATTTCAGACGACCACTCTGGAGAGTGTTCCCGAATTCTCTGACCAGAGGGTACGACGATGTTCTAGATGAAGATCCTTCCGGACACTCATCGTGGAGCACTAGAAATTAAATTCCGGGTCATGAGTGCTATGTCACTTGTACAGACATTAGCTCAGGGGAGCATTTCAATGCGCCTAATCCTTACTTAGTCATGCTTTGGTTCCGCCGACCAGACTTCGAGCATCCGAGCGGGATACGAACGGAGCGGAGAAGGTTTATGAAAAAGGCATCTTGCGTCAAGTCGGTACCGATCGACTTACCTATGTCTACTTAACTTATGAAACTTCCGAGTCTTTCACCATAGTCAGTTTCTTGAGGGTTTCTCCGTTTTTCTGTGTGGCGTTCACTGTGGAGTGCATGCTAGCTGTAGCTGAGAAGTACTGGGACGGTCGTGATTGCAGGATATTTTCGTAGAAAAGCGTGAAATGAAACCTCGCTCGTTCAGCAGGATTTTCAGAAGGACATCGACAATCGTTTTCGTTTTGCCGATTCTCATCCCGATCCGTCCCGAAATAATCTCTGTTAAATATCTCGAGTTTTAACGCGATAGCCGCGATAGCATCGGCGATGGCCGCTTGGCGGCATTGGAGTCGAACACCCGCGTCGGCCGACGTCGACGGCACGACGATAAGGTCTGATAAAAAAAGAGAGTTGTTGTCTGCAACCCGAGAGTGTGTGAGCATCATCGAAATCTTTTTCCTCCGACTTGCGATTGGGTACCCGGAAATCCTTCCGCATTTTGTCCACCGAGTAAAGTTTAACATGGTGCCGTGACCAGGATAATCGCCTGGTGTCAGCACCAACATTGCCGAGCCGAGATCGACGCTACGCGGGCAGGGGAGCGGCCTCAAACGACATCGAAACTCGCAGCATTCAAATTATTTCTCGACGAAGACGGGCTACTCCGGGCCGAGACCCGACTCACCGAAGGCCCCTTCTTCACCCACGACGAGCGAAACCCAGTTGTCATTCCTGGCGAGTCCAGATTCGCAAAGTTGCTCATTATGGACTCGCATCGGGTGAACGCCCACTTCGGCGTGAATACGATCCTGAATCACCTCCGGCGACGGTTTTGGGTTACTCGGGCTCGGCAGATAATTAAGGGAATCCTGCATCGATGTGTCACCTGCCGACGGAGACAAGGAAAATTTGCCCGACAGATCGAGGCCCCGCTCCCCGAGGCCCGCTTGGAGTTCACGGTTCCTTTCCGAGTGACCGGAATCGACTTCTGTGGACCGTTCTTTGTCACCCATCAGAAGACCACCTCGAAGGCGTACGTAGCGTTGTTCACTTGTGGAGCAAGTCGCGCGATTCACCTAGAGCTGGTGCCATCACAGAGTACTCCGCAAACTCATTTGGCGATCCGACGTTTCCTTGCTACGTATCCCGGTTGCGTCAAGTTCATCTCGGATAATGGTTGTAATTTCGTGAAAGCTGCGACGGATATCAAACGTCTCTTCAATGCGATGAAGAAGAAAGAGACAGCCGAGACTTTGGAGGGACGATCGATAGATTGAACCTTTAACTGCCCGCGGGCGCCCTGGAGGGGCGGATTTTTCGAGCGTATGGTAGGACTTGTGAAGGCCGCGCTCACTAAAGGGCTTTGGCCGGCGCCTCCTTGGTTATGAGGAATTCCGCACAGTCCTATGCGAACTCGCTGCGGTCGTCAATGATCGACCGATAACACACGCGCCGACGGATTCCGAGGACCCGCTAGCATTGACGCCGGCTCAATTTCTCCGTGGCGGCCCCCACCATCCAGCCCTCGCCGCTGACCTACCCGTCGACGCTCTTCCGGGCGACAAACCAGTGTCGGGCGAAGAACTGCGAAAGAATTTCGTTGCGAGGAGATCGTATTTCAAGGACCTCTCCGTGCGGTGGTTCCGCGAATATATGCTCCTCCTCAAGTCGGCAAATCAAACGAGAGGGCTCTCGGCTGACCCCATCCGGGTGGGCGATGTTTGCCTCCTGAAGGAGGACAATTTACCAAGGATCCGCTGGAAGCTCGTCCGAATCGTTGACGCTCACCGGGGTCGCGATGGAAATATCCGAACGTATACTGTAAAGTTTTCAAATCTAAGAACGTCTCGTCGTGCCGCCCAGCTATTGTGTCCGCTGGAGGTGACGGCGGACGAGGCAACTGACAAAGAATAATTTAAGTGAAACGCTCCCCGTTTCCGGGGGGAATGTTAAATATCTCGAGTTTTAACGCGATAGCCGCGATAGTATCGGCGATGGCCGCTTGGCGGCATTGGAGTCGAACACCCGCGTCGGCCGACGTCGACGGCACGACGATAAGGTCTGATAAAAAAAGAGAGTTGTTGTCTGCAACCCGAGAGTGTGTGAGCATCATCGAAATCTTTTTCCTCCGACTCGCGATTGGGTACCCGGAAATCCTTCCGCATTTTGTCCACCGAGTAAAGTTTAACAATCTCCCTTCGGCGCAGGTTTTAGCTTGGAGAACTGCACGGGCGAGGAATCCCAGAGCTCGAGGAGTATCAGAGCGCGAGCGGGGAATGGAAGTTTCCCAGTTCAGCAGTAAAAAAAGCAGTATCCGTCGCAGGCGATACTTTCGGCTGTCAGGAGGGTATTTCGCGAAGGGAAGGCCGCGGGAAGTATGTGTTCGGGTAATTGAATTCTTCGATCGCTCCTCGAAGGGAGGAGGCGGAAGGGCATTCGCGCCTCTGCTACCACGGAGAAGTATATGTATATGTATATATATCTGCTCGGCTTTGATCTCCTCATCTGGGGCGTCGCAGTCAGCGAAGTTCTCGGACGATAATTTTGAGATTTAGAGGACACATCATTAGCAGACGTGATTTTGCGAATCAGGATCTTGCCAATTTATTTAGCACGCTCCCGATGCGCATTCCATCGACAACGGAAACGGCTAACTCAACCAACCATCGGAATATCATATCCGTGTGATATCGACAACAATCGTGATTGGATCCTATTCGACGTGATTATTTGTTCCTGGCTTGCTCGCGACGGCAATCTCCGAAGGAGCATACGACCTCTTAGACTCCTAGCTTGCACCGTATGGTATTCACCAGTCCGTTCATTCACCGATGAGTTCGGAAGTTGTCCGGTGCTTCGAAAGACAAGCGCTAGGCCAGGGTTTCGGGGATAATCGGAAGAAAAAAAGACTTGGGACCTTCGACTAAGATCAACGAAGTCTCCGTAGGAGGAGGCCCTCGCTCAGCGGAGTCAGTATCAGGAAGCGAGAGTGCAGAGACTCTTTGGTAGCAGGTGATCACTTTCGGGAGAGCGTCAGGCCAATAATAATCGCTCCGTTTGTCCTGAACCACGGAAGGACGGGCAGCTGGCCGGTGGTGAATCGGATTTATGCAGCAGAGTAATGTTGTGAGCGAACATCTTTCCCAAACTCGGTGATCAATGCGTCTCCTCTTCCGGAGGAGCCGAGACTGCGAGGAACGACACCGGTCCGGCATTCTCCCCACATGAGACACACGATCAAATGCTCTAGACCTACTCGCGCACATTCCACCATCTGTTTGAGTTGCAGCTTGTCGAAGAGGTGTAGAGAGGACTTTTCAATCGACAACTTTGCTGTAATATTCCCCGTTCCGACCACCTCGCCATTGATGATGGATAACGTGATCTCAAAGGGTTCGAAAAAAGCTTCATCTGAAAAAGACGAGCTCGGTTTTAGCGGGAGATCCGTCACAGCATCACGAATGATGACGTTCTTTGATCGAAGGGATCGGGGAGCATTCTGACGCCGAACAGAACTCGACTCATTGAGAGAAATATTCTTCACTCCCCTCCAAGCGCTCCAAGGTTTCCTGACGGAGATTGTCACTTTCGAGAGAGAAACTCACCTTCTATGGAGCTGATGATTGTGTGCATTCGAAGCCATGCCACACGGACGGGCACAGAACACTCAACCGCAGAGTTCTTCCCGCAGACAACTTCTCCGCGCAAGTTCAGAGCAGTTGGCAATCCATGTAGCTCGAAAACTTGGTCTTTCGTGAAATCCTTACACTTGAATGTTTCACCCCACACCGATGCGTACCTGTCCGGTAGGGTTCTGAACAGATCTAAGGCTGTTCCCTTGTGATCAATCGGCGTCCCAATTGAATCGGCTCCACATAAGATCGCCAAATCAACCAAACACACCAGCACAATGCTATCCACGAGGCTCATGTCAGTGCATTAGTAGTGAGATCCATTTAGAAAGCGTGACTTTCGACAATTGATATAATCGAGCGGTCACCACGGGGAACGATCTTGGCGCGACCACCTTCCAGTGTTTTCAATCGAGTCCAGTTCGCTTCCTCGAGCCTTAAGGGGCATGATACGCATCGATGGTCCTCCATAAGAGTCCTGCGGAGTTTCGATAGGGATTTGTAGAGCGCCTCAAGAGCATGACTATGTTTTGACTGAACGAACCGCTGATTCCGGTTTTACCAGACGATCGCAAATCGTTCGCCGACTTGAATGGATTTCCCATAGATTCTTGGCGTTTTCTGAATACTGAGCGAGGTTTGCCGAACTTTTTGAGAGTTGCCCTAGGACCCTTCCTCTCGACTTCTGAGGACCAGAGCTCCGACCATATTCTCCATGACATTTCTCCATATTCTTGGACTAGCAGACGAATCGTCGAAGGGCTGAGAAGTCTTGCGACTAGATCATGTGCGTCACCGTCACCAGTGCGTTACCCTTTCATTCGGCTTCTCCGTGGATTAGATCTTCAGATTAGCCTGTTCCGCTATTCCTGATTGTTTCGGACGTCCTTATCCTAGTCCACTGAGTTATCGGTTCACTAGTGAAGATACGAATGGACGCGGAGAACGTGCGCCTGAGCTTGAGATCACACTCTTCGAGACAACCTTTTCTAAGAAATGAGCAAGGCGCGAAGAGTGGGGCAAGAAAAACCCTCGGTATGCGTGACAGTGAGGCCCGGAGGGACGAATCAAAAATAATTTTTCATGAACGAAATCAATCCAATCACGGGATCCCATGGGAGCGGGAATCTGGCGGAAGTCCCGCACATCCGTTTTCTTCCATATGAGCGCTTCTCTTTTCGCTCCCCGCCAGAGCACCCAAGCAACGACACCTCTCTGTCCAACCTTGCACCAACCGAGCAAATGACTGGTGCATCTCCTTTGCTCCCCGCATATCGCGTTCGTGCAATACCCTTCCTACTCATGTCTTCCATTCGATCTATGATCTCCTTGAATTCCACACTCTTCTCTCTCTCTTTCCAGGTGGAGAGTTTTAGGTTTTTTCCTTGTCAACAGGTATAACTCACATGAGCACCTCACTGCAGTTTATGCCTCAGAGTCTTGCGCCTATGCGTTGTAGCTCTTCTCTCTCTCCATGTAGCTCTCCTACCCCCTCCCTTCTAAGGAAAACAGGGACACCCTTTCGCGAGTCGCTTCATCGAGAAACTGAGCGAGATTTTGCATTACAGAGAAGTCTTGGGAGGAAAGATCGCGGAATTCAGATCTGACTCTCATATCCGACTTTCCCTACCCCGGTTCTCTTGTGAACAGGTTTGACTGCACCGAAATATGTGTGTACGTAGTCTCTGGAACCTGGGGTGGTCATAGGCCGATTCCGTTGGAACGGCTTCGGGTATCGCTTCCCCGAAAGTCGTTTCTACCGACTGAACTACTTGACAATCTGGGTCGCGGCCACGTGCTCCAAACGATCAGCCGTACGACGATACGATCAGCCGCGATATGTGATCAGGATTCGGAGCTTCGATATAATGATCGAGAACGAGCCTGTCGATTCCGATCTCTCTGAGAGGCGAACAACATCCATGAAATGTTTATAGTCTACACTCAGAATTGAGAATCGATTAACGACTGAACGATCGGAAGAATCCCTGTTCACGACTGATACGAACTCTTCTGAAGAGCTTCGCAAGAGCGGTGCGACATCCCACACTTTGTTTCATCAGCCAGCAGAAAGTGGCGGAAAAGCGAAAGTTTGAATCGGACATGATCAGCGCAGCGGGCATTCTCTACAGCCGCCACAGAAACCGATTCGGCAGTACGGAGCAACGGGCGTGGTCATCACAGCTTTTCCCGGGGAGTTCAGCGGGAGGGGGGGGGGAATCTCGCCGTGAAACCAGAACTCGGTCGCGTCATTTACGGGAAGAGTTTTCTCGACCTCTGTGACAGTCCGAAAAGCCGGAGTGCTCCTCGTTCTCTCCCGTCTGAGATTCTCAACCTCCTCACCTTCACGAGGCGAAAGCATAGGTATGAGAGCCCCCTTTCCAACATCTCCATGAGCACCCCCCCCTCGCTCTGTTTTCTGGAACATCCAGGATTCCCCTCGGCGCTCCTCTCGACCTAACTGCTCCCGATATTTTCGGCATCTGAGTTGGCGCCCCTCTCGGTCCAGATCTGGCCAGAACCTGGTGAACAGTCATCGGAATGGGGAGACCCTCTCCATAGGATGAATCCTGTGGAGTCCCTCACTTTTCCGAATTTTCTCCACTCTAGTAAACGGGGAACCATTCCCTGCTTCATTTGCGTCAACTCGACCCGACGGGGGCCTATGTATGATCAGAGCTCTTCTGAAGTCGCATCCGATGATCTTGGTGCGTTTGTTGGCTCTATCGTTGCGTGCATGCAGAACGGAGAGATTATACAGAAAAGAGCGAAGCTGACCGATCTTGAGCAAATGTCAGAGGACGCTCTTGAGCTCCCCTTTGCCCTCTCCACTTTTCGATCCAGCATTGATCCAGGGATTGTTGAATGATTCCCTTTCTTTTCATTCACTTCTCGAAACATATGGTGAGGAATCCCGAACTTCCGGGAACCCTGGGATCGACGCCTCAGCAGATATTCGGTGCATGCGGATTCACAATCAGCCCGTCTGGGTGTCGTCGGTCCTCATTCCCCACTCTTCTGGCATCACTTGCGTCCTCGTAGATCGATACTTTTCCCTCGATCGACTGGCCGACAGCGCCCTTATTATTGACGTAGAAAGCCTCGGTCTGTTCTATGTTTCATACTCCGTCCTTTGTGTAAAGCAATTCCGCCGCTTCTGGAACGAGGCCTGGACCTCCGAACTTCGCAAGAGACGAGATTCGGAACGCGGGGAGAGATGCACTCAGAAACCATCTGAAGTAGAAAGTGAATAGGGAAAGACTTAGGCGCGGATGCGAGGAGACGAATCCGTCTTCTCCTAGAAAAGGAGTTCACGATGTACAAAAAAAAACACCCAGGAGCAGGAACTCTTCGTGCGGAGAGATCGTTTTTTCACCAGATTCTGGTCGGAATGAGACGGATCTGACAGCCGGAATCGAGTCGAGGCGACCGTTGATGATTTTGTCCGACGTGAGGGAACTTCACCCCACAAAATCTTCGTCTGTAATAATTATAATACATGGAACAATCATTTGGAAGAGGATTCCCGATGGCCTGCCCCTCTAGTGGTGCCCTCCTGCGGGTTCGCGAAAAGAGCTCCTAGGATGAGAGATGCAGGAGATCGCCTCCCCGGGCTCGGAATTATTCTGCTGGTAAGAGGCAAACCAAGATATGCTCCGCTCGCTCCAGTAGAGCGCAGCTTCGCCGACGCGCTCCCCATGTAATCGGTCGAGAGAGTCATCTAGATAGAGAGCTCTCTCAAGTTCAGCAATCGCACGATGTCGAGACAGCCCAAGGTTCTAAACTGAAGCCAAGAACGAGATTTTTCCGGGAAGAACGTCGAGGGGGATTCCGGGCAGCCTTAAATTCCGGGCAGCCCCGGGTCTGGGCAAATTCAGCCTTAGGAAACCGATTTTATCGAGTGGGGTCTCAATCGAAAGGTAATTTTGAGAGGAATATTTTCCGCATGGTCCCGGATCTGATTGGTACTCGTGGTCGGAATAAATGCCCGGAGAAGTTTTTTCTTCAACCCCTTCTATCTCGAGAACGGCTATAGCTACAGAGTCGTGCGATAGCGCGATCGAAAGCTCCCGTCGAGAGCTTCCATTTGATACCAATATTGACCTATTTGGCCGTTTCTAAGGCTTCAAAAAAGAGAAAACAAGTTTTCGCAAGCTTCGCTTTCATACTTCCACACGAGACGCCACTTTGATACTTTGTCAGATAAACGTCCCAAGTGTCCCCCATCCATTAGAAATCATATCAGGAAAATCGAAGTGTTCCTTTTTGTTGAAAAAAATTATTATTTTCCCCGGCCAAAATCCGTTTTTTTCCGGAATTTTCCCGGTTCGCCCCTTTTTCGCCCGATTACTCCTAAACTAGCGCCAGGAGCCCGTTTTTGAGCCCGGAATCTGAAAGCTGAAGCCGAGAGCTTTCGATTGCACCCCCTGGTCACCCGATTCGGACAGGCAAAGCGTCGGGTTCTCGAGATTTTCCATGGAATCCCGAAAAAGGCGGGCCGATCAACTTCGCTTCTCGCTGCTATGAATTTCCGCGCGGTGGCGCCCAAGCTATGGCCACGCCGACGCGAAAACACTTGATCTCGAGAAGACCGACCTAACATTCGCTTCTTCTTAGCTGCCATCGCGGCGGAATCCTTCGCTTAGATTGAGCCGCCTTAGAGAGTGTCGAGATATAAAAGCTGGGCGATTACGGATCCTCATATCGACACCAAGGTCCATTCGGACCCCGGGGGGTCTGACCAGAGGGGTGGGACCCCCCGTAAGATCAGAGAGGTACAAGCGCCAAAACAAAGGGGTTGAAATCGATTTATGGAATCGAGCATCAGCTAGCTCTCACCCTCTACGCTATAATTGTATTTAAGCAACGCTTAGAGAAGAAGAGAACTACACTAAGCCTCAAAGCTACCTACTCCGTGTCTTCCTGTGTCATCGAGCCCCTGAGATTCCTCGACGAGCACCATGCCAGTCTCCCAGTGTGTGATATGTGGTAAATTCTCTAATAGAGTGAAGGGTAGATTCAAACAAGTGACCAAGCAGGAGGAAGCGAATCGTTACGCCGAGCATTACAATCTTCCCGTTGACATCGGCAACCGTCTGTGCGACAAATGTCGAAGGGTGAAGGAGAAGAGCCCTGCTAGTGAGGATGAGTTTCCGTCGGACTCATCATCGGGGGAGGAGTTCGAGGCAACTTTGCCGAGCTCCAAGTAAGGTCCCACCATGTGAATCACGAAACCTACAGGATTTTTATCCATTATAATGCAAGCGAGAACAGCATCGACGGAATCGCAGAGTAGTGGTGCGAATGTCCGAATGGCAACAGGACGGTGGGCTGTTGTTCGCACGTGGCTGCTGCGGTCTTCTACCTCTCGCATGCGAGATATCTCGGCACCATTTCTCGTCCAGCAGCGAACCTGGATAAT